TTTGCTCCCAGAGCTGCCTTACTGACGGCATACATCAGACTTTAATAAAATCAGAGCATTTTTCGTTTCAGTTTGCTTTGTTTTCTTAATAAATGCCACACGCTGCTGCAGATTAAATTAACACAGGGAAATGTACATTTCTCCGGGGCGTCTAGCAGCCGTAAGTGCGTGTGCAAGAGAGTACAGGTCTGCGTTTCGGCGATAAGCTGTATTTTCTATATGAAATAGCTGCCGGCTATCGAGTGCTGGTTTATAAGCATCCTTTGAAATGCTACTCAGTTCTGAGGGGAACTAAATTCTGACCGTAATTCACCTCGTGTAATTCACCTCGTGGAAATTCACTCGCTGAGTCACATGAGCACGTAGCATTTTGTTATCCAGTACTTGAAGACGGCGTATGAAAAAATTAAATGCTGAAGTGTTTGTTATGTAGGTGCACAACCAAAAGAGAGATAATTTACCATGTTTTACACAGCTAAACTGGTTTTATCATGCAATATAGAACATTTTATACTGTAAAAACGTATAGTTGTAAATAAAACCTAAATTATTAGAGTACTTTTTTTACAAGAAAATAATTTCTACTTCAAATGTCCATGTTTAAATCAGAGTTACTTGCCATTTCCTTGTAATTATTTGTGAATTTACTTGCAATTTCTGAGTTAAAATTGTTTCAAAGTAAATCCTACATCCATTTTTTCCCACTGTATGACTCAAAAGTTAACGTTTCTCTATGCACATTTTCAATGAGCATAACAAAATGCTAAATAGTTTGTGTTTGTTTTATTGTAAACTAAGGCAGAAATCAAATGCGTATTACAGCCTATTAGCTGTAGTTTCAGAAGCTAAATTTCCAAATATTATATTTTGTTGTATAGAAACCAGAGTTATGTTGATTTAACCATGATTTTACAAATGAAACATTATTGTAAAGTGTTACCAACTACTTTATGTAAAATGTAGCATGAAGTAGCTGTCGCTTCAGAGGCTATGTTTCTAAATATCATATTTCGTTTTTATAGAAACCACAATTAAGTTGATCTAACCATGATTTTATAAATGAAACATAATTGTAAAGTGTTACCAACTACTTTAGCGTATGTAAAATATAGCTGAACCAGCATGAACTAGCTGTAGCAGCTCAATTTCCAGATAACATATTTTGTTTAATAGAAACCAGTTGCATTGATTTAATCAAGTTTTTACAAATGAAACATTATTGTAAAGTGTTACTGGCTACTTGTAAGTGTAGCTGAACTAGAATGATTTAGCTATAGCTAGAAAATGTAGCTGCATATTTTGTTTAATAGAAACCAGTTGCATTGATTTAATCAAGTTTTTACAAATGAAACATTATTGTAAAGTGTTACTGGCTACTTGTAAGTGTAGCTGAACTAGCATGATTTAGCTATAGCTAGAAAATGTAGCTGAACTAGCATAAACTAGCATAAACTATCTGTAGCTTCAAAGGCTTTGTTTCCAAATATCATGTTTAATTTTTATAGAAACCACAATTAAGTTGATCTAACCATGATTCTATAAATGAAACATAATTCTAAAAAGTGCTACCCGCTACTTTACGTACAATTTAGCTAAACTAGCAAGAACTAGCTGTAGCTTTAGAAGCTAAATCTCCAAATATCAGATTTTGTTTTATAGAAACCAGAGTTGTGTCGATTTAACCATGATTTTACAAATGAAACATTATTGTAAAGTGTTACCTGGCTACTTTATGTAAATGTAGCTGAACTAGCATGAACTAGCTGTAGCTTCAGAAGCTAAATCTCCAAATATCATATTTTGTTTTCATAGAAACCATAGTTACATTGATTTTATCATGATTTTATATGTGAAACATTATTAAGGGGTTACCAACTACTTTGTTGTAGCTGAATTAGCATGAACTTGTAGCTTCAGAAGCAAGAAACCATAATTACATTCAAAAAATTACTATTGTTTTTTTCTACAGATATCACAGAAATACTATGGTTACTATGGTAAATTTTCATAATTCTAACCTACATTGTTTTATGGTTTTAATAAAGCCATTTATACTTCATATATTGGGTATTTTTATCAACCCAGATGTTAAGAAACATGTTTGGAGTAATATAGGGCTACTGTTTAGCATTCATTAGATTAGTATTCATCTGCACTTTTTTTACTAAATTAAAATGCTTAAAGACTAACTTCTATTGATTTTAAGTTTGTGAGGAATGGATATACGATAATAAAGGATGTTAAAATCTGTAAGCGTTCATTTGTCCGTTAAATAGCACTTGTGACGGTATCTGTACCTGTAAGATTAAAGCATTGTATCTTGGTTTGCTTCAGGCAGGGCTTTGCTTTGGCGTGTTTGTTTGCGCAGATCTGAAATGGGATTAGCTTCATTTAATCTTTCATTGAAACCTCCACCACCCAAACCCTCAAATTAAGCAGCACAGAAACTGGAAATGCTGGTCGTGGATCAGGCCACATCGTCAAACACTTATGCCGAGTTCACACTGCACGATTTTAGCCCGATTTTTCACTCGCCGACAGGTTTTGCGAAATCGCCGACAAATGCCCGAAATCGGAGGCAAATCGGTGCTCGTTCACGCGAGTGACAATCACGCAGTGTGAATTATCAAAGACGAGGGAATGGCCGACATGTCGCCGACGCCCGCAAAATATTTGGCATGCTAAATATCTGGAGCTGTTGGCGATTCACAATCACGTTGTGTGCAATGATTTCTGACTGAAAACTACATCGATGATGACCTACAGCCAACGAGAGACCAAGATACAGGGCAGAGGGAAGTTCGGGGAGGAGTTATAGACCAGAATATCAGTATTTTAATAGATATATGAACAATTATATCATACAGAAACAAGCACAAACATTTGCTTGCCCAGCCACAACATCAGCATAACAGTTACTGCAAAATTATTTACCTCCAACTCTCTTTGCAGAACACCCAATCCCTGTTCCCTGCATCTCCCTCCTGCATAATCTGTTTTTCTTTTTCTCCTTGTAGCTGGAAATCAGCTCACAGACACTTTGCGGGCTATATATATATTTTATAATTCCAGTCTTGCTCGAGAAGCCTGCGTAGTCTGACACACGCGGGTTCTCGTGTTATTTCCTTATCACTTCTCGCATGTGTTTTGTTGTGAAACGTAGTTTGCGGACCAGACAGAGCTGTCGGCGATTCTTCCTATTGTAAAGTCATGCAGTGTGTAACCTCCTGTCGCCGATCCATCGTGCAATGTGAACACAGCAGCGACTGACTGCTACCTCAGATAGTCACGCAGTGTGAAAACCACGGTGACCCGACGACTTTGAAAATCGTGCAGTGTGAACTCGGCATTAGTTACACGCTAGTGATTTCAACCTAGCATGTGTCTCAGTAGCGGGAGGAGATTTCAATGACAAAGAATTAATTTATTTTTCCACATCCTTTTTATGAGGTAATTTGGTTTCTATTGTGTATATAGAATGAATAATTTGATAGCCGGGTGACATACGACGAGCCCGACTTCAATATTCGAGGGAGATTTACATTCAGAGATGTGTTAGCCATCAGATAATTTCCATTTGACTCCATTAACTCACGGACTGCCGCACAAACCCCTGCTGTCATAACGGCTGTTGTACATCAAAACATAGCGCGGCGCTCAACAAGACTCCTACGTATCGTTAATGAAACTCATTTAAATGAGTCATTTATCAGGGCAGAAACACAGCTGTTTGCATCTCCGAGCCCCGAAATCTTCATTGGAGATCTAAATTAAAAAAAGCTCATATTATTTCCGGAATGGACAGTTGGGGGTTGTTGAGAGCTGTCTTTAAAACAAGCCTTTTTATTATATGCGCAGGAAAAAGTAGGCTATTTAATTGTGTTGTTTTTCCTATTTTAAAACTGATAGCTGTTGTCTTGAAAGCTGATTGGTCAGTTCTATCCTATGTAAATATATACACAACATAGTAACAGCTATGATGTGAAATACCTGTTTACTAGCGAAGGAGTAGCACAAGGTAGAATGGCACATACTGAATTTTTGTAATAAATTGTTTTAATTTAAATTTGTGTACAAATTAAGTATGCTATTTTAAAACAATATAAATAAAAATGATAATATACCATATATATATATATATATATATATATATATAGTTATTGAATACAATTATTGGAAAAAAAATTATATTGTTATTAAATGTATAATATTAATAATTATAATAAAATTGATTGATATGATTAAAATAAATATAATTATCATTATTGTAATTGTTATACATTTACATATATTCTATTATTATTAATAATTATTAACTAATGTAATTATAGTATTATATCAGTAATTTTTTATAAATATTAATATTGTAAAATACAATTCTATTTAAATATATAAATATAGTGTGTGTGTGTGTTTTGAAATGATAATTATTGAATAAAATATTATATATTGTTTATATTGTTATAACTTTTATAATATTAATAATAAAAATTTATTTCAATTATAAAATTGATTGATATATTTAATTTAAATTGTATTATTATTGTCATTTTTATACACATACATATTATGTATTTTATTAATCATTACTTATAATTTTTCTAATATAATTATAGTATTGTATTAGTACTAATAATTATAAATATGAATATTATAAAATACAATTCTATTTAAATACAATTCTGTTTAAATATTATGCTGTGTGCGTGTGTGTGTGTGTGTGTGCCAATTATTGTATAATGTAAATAAAATAAATAACTTTTAATTTATATCACATACAAAGATTTAATTTCTAAACTTAATAAAATATACTTTTTTCATATGATATAAACAATAAAAATGAAAATATTAAATTGTGTACTGTGTTATAATGTTGATTCAGTGTAGTATAGCAAAATATATATATGCACAAAATTCCTGTCTTATTTATCTATTTAATACTTAAATTCCAGTCACACACATCTTTCCCTTTGTTCATGTCTGTAGCTCCTGTGTTTCAGGGATGGCATCAGCTCAGTGTGTGTTTCTCGTCTGTGAGGATCTCTGGACGGATGGACCTGCGGGTTTGATCTTGAGCTTTAATTTAAGGAGTTGAACAAAAGTATAACATAAAAAGCTTAGGAATTACAACCATTTTTATACACAGTCTCCCCATTTTGAGGGGCTCAAATGTAATTGGACCAATAAATATAATCATAAATAAAACTTTTAATATTTTGTTGAGAATCTTTTGCAGGCAATGACTGCCCTAAGTATGGAACTCATGGACATCACCAGAGACTGGGTTTCCTCTTTGTGATGCTTTGCCAGGCCTTTACTGCAGCTGACTTCAGTTGTTGTTTGTTTGTGGGTCTTTCTGCCTTTAGTTTTGTCTTGAGCAAGTGAAATGCAAGCTCAATCGGGTTGAGATCAGGAGATTGACTCGGCCATTACAGAATATTCCACTTTTACCTTCAAAAACTCCTGGGTTGCTTTTGCTGTATGTTTTGGGTCATCGCACATTTGTACTATGAAGTGCCGCCCAATCAACTTTGCTGCATTTGGCTGAATCTGGGCAGAGAGTATATCCCTATACACTTCAGAATTCATCCGGCAGCTTCTGTCTTCTGTCACGTCATCAATAACTGCCATTGGAAGCCATGCACGCTCATGCCATCACACTGCTCCACCATGTTTCACAGATGATGTTGTATGCTTTGGATCATGAGCTATTCCAAGCCTTCTCCATACTTTTTTCTTCCCATTATTCTGGTACAGGTTGATCTTAATTTTAGCCGCCAAAGAATGCTTTTCCAGAAGAGGTCTGGCTTTTTTTTAGATGTTTTTTTGGTAAAGTCTGGCCTTATTTGCACCTTGTGATGAACTCTTTGTATTTGTTCTGGTGAAGTCTTCTCTTGATTGTAGACTTTGACAGTGACACGTCTACCTCCAGGAGAGTGTTCTTCTCTTGGCTGGTTGTTGTGAAAGGGTTTTTCTTTACCATGGAGAGGATCCTCCGATCATCCACCACTGTTGTCCTCTGTGGACGGACGTCCAGGCCTTTTTATGTTGCTAAGCTCACTAGTGCACTCTTTTTTTTCTCAGAATGTACCAAACTGTTGATTTGACCACTCCTAATGTTCCTGCTATCTCTAAGTGTCACTTGCATGGAGAGCTCCTTTGACTGCATGATGTGGGTTCACAACAACAGCTTTTGCAAAATGCAAATGGCACTCCAGACCTTTTACCTGCTTGATTGATGTAGAAATAATGAAAGAATAGCCCACGACTGTCCATGAAACAGCTTTTGAGTCAATTGTCCAATTACTTATTTTCCCTTGAAAAAGGGGGGGAGGTACATATTAAAGAGCTGTAATTCCTTAACCTTTCCTCCAATTTAGATGTGAATAAAAAGAAAAGATCAGCGTTCTACTGTAACCAGAATATTATGGTATTCTTGAAACTACTTTGGCGTGTCAAAGTACGCCAAAGTACATCAATTTCAGTACCTTGGTTTTGATCAAAGTACCATGGTATTACCATCAAATACCATCACTGTAATATGGTGCTGCCAGCAGTTGTCGATTGTGGAGATGTTTACTTCAACCTCTCTTGGATTTGAAAGGGCAACTTTTGTGTTGTTTTGTGTTGACAGCACAGTTTTTCTTGACGTTAGCTGTTGGGACGGCTTTGATGCAGGAAGGGTGGGCTGTCGCTGGGAGTTTGGAGTGTGTTCAGTGACGAGGAGCATAACAGAGTTATTTCTATAGACAGGACAGTGAGGAGAGTGCCTGAGGAGCGCACACACACACACACACACACACACACATACGTCGAGTGCTGCAGGGACTGACGTCCCCAGACGCTCCACGTGGACAACGTAAAGAAGAGGTCGTGGCTATATTCGGCAAGGTCATCGAAGAGCCTGGAGGTAAAGCCAGTGATGTTTCATACTTGTGTGATTTCCCAAACGAGCTCTTTTTGGAGTCATATGGAGAAATAAAGGCATGGTGATGATGAGACGAGCCAATGTGAGGAGAAGATGAGGAAGGTGTTGTGACATCTTTTGGGGTTTAAGGACATCCTCCATCCAGTTTCACCCGTTCAGCTCTGATAGCTTCAGTGTTGGGGAAGAACTAAGCAGAAGATATTTATAACAACAACAACTCAAAAACACTAGAAAAATCTGATTATGATTATTAAAATTGATGATAATTTAAATTATAATGGTTTCAATTATAAAGTTAAATGATGTACTAAATAATTTTTGTATTAATTCATTAATTTTTTTTATAATTTATATATATATATATAGTGATGTAATTATATTAATAAATATGTAATGACTAAACAATTATAACAATTCATACAATATACATAGAATAGAGTTTATTAAAATAAAATTTCATAATACTGAGAAATTATAATAATCACGATATTATAGCAGAATTATAGTAATATGTATTAAGAATTATAATATCTAATAATAATTAATTGATAGAATAAATTATTGTATAAGCATATAGTATATTCATAAAATAAGGTAATTTTTTTTACATATGGTATAATATTTTCATTTATATTGTTATACATAAAATATATTTCATATTTGATGTATATCGTTTTGAAATAGTATACTGTATACATAACATTTAATTAAAACTATAATCATTAATATAATAACATTAGTAAAAGATTAGAGTAATTTATATATATTTATTATAATATATGCATTATTTTATAAATATATTTTTTACAAGTTTTACATATGTGGTATAATAATATGTTTTATTTATGTTGCTTACTGTATTTATATTGTTAGTATAAAGCAGTTGCTACATTAAATACATTTGTCATTAAAACAATATTTTGTCTGTTGTGCCATTTGTTTTTATATACATTGTAGCAAACGTTGTCTACACATCACCAAGGCTGCATTTATTTAATTAAAAATACAGGTAAAACTCTAATATTAAGATATTATCACTAATATTACATTTTATTATTTATTAAAATAAAAATAATTAAGTTAAAATAACTGTTTTCTATTCGAATATATTTTAAAATGTCATTTATTCCTGTGATGTAAAGCTGAATTTTTAAATATTTATATTTTTATATTATTTCATTTTTTTTTTGTACATATATTAGATTATATTATAATACTGATGTTTATCTCTATATTTTTCAAATTAATTTTTTTTATATTATGGTTTTAGTTTATTTAGTTCATTTAGTTCATTTAAAGGAGTCCTATTATGCTCTTTTACAAAGTCTTGATTTTGTTTTGGGGGTGTACTAGAACATGCTCTCATGCTT